ACATTCAGGAAAAGAGGAAAAATGCTACTAAGATGGCTCCCCAAGGTAAACCAATCTTCCAAAATTAATGAATTGATGGAATCATCACTTTGTTTCTAAAATAATCCAGGAATGCAATTTCTTCACTTCTGTTGCAGATAGAAGTTTAAAAAAAAAAAAAAAAAAAAAGACTGAGGGCACCCACATACCTTGACAAAAGCAAAACTTTCCATTGATTCTCCTGATTTTCTCCCCTATCTTACAAGCTTAGCTTTGAATCCTTGGAGAAGCTGGAGGTCAGTGGAACAACATGGCAAAATGGAGAGACACTGGTGTTGAAGTTGGGAGACCCTGGATCCAGTTCCCACTCTGCCTCTGACCAGCTTTGTGACTTGTGACAAGTTACTGACCTTCTCCATCTGGGTTTCGTCTTGTATGATGTACGTGTGCAGAACCATTATGTACGACAGACAGGCTGCTTCAGAAGCTGGTGACCTATTTGTCACCATCAGGAGAACCCCGAAGCCTGATTGGCCACTTGGTGGGCCTAAGGACTAGCGTTTGTCTAATGTTTTCAGATGTCATGAGGCTCTCTCAATAGGTGTCACTTCATATGGTGACCATGACAATCCAGTCAAGGAGATATCTCCACCCCCATTGTTAAAGACCAGATGGGAGAACAAAATCCCTTGGCCAAGCTCATGGGGCAGCGATCAGAGGTGAGAAACTTCACCCCAGACCTGGCTGATGCCACGTACAGTGCCTCACCAGGACACGGGCTGCTCCTCTGTCAGGAGGAGATTCCCGAACCAGGGAGCCGACTGGCACATGGTTTCTAGATCCCTTCTGATTCTAACAGTCCGTGCTTCTCTCAATATAATGAGGGGGCTGGAGTAAACCAACAACGTTAAAAAGAGTCTGTGCTCTCAAATGAAATCTCCTGTAGAAGGCCAAAATATGAAATAGATAATTGCTTCCACCCAGATGTCCATCAAGTGACAAACAGATAATAAAATAGAATATACCCATATAACGGAATATTATTTGGCCGTAAAAAGGAATAAGGACTGATACATGCCACAACATGGGTGAACTTTGAAAACATGCTAAGTGAAAGAAACCAGACACAAAAGACTGCACACTGCATGATTCTACTTATATGACGTGTCTGGAATAGGTCGATCCGGAGACAGAGAGTAGGTTGGGGGAGGTGGGAATGAGGAGTGGCTGCTTCATGGGTACAGGGTTTCCTTTAGGGGTTGACATTTTGGAAGCAGTTAGATAGGGGTGGTGGTTGCATAACACCGTGACTGTACTAAGTGCCATGGAATTTAAATAGTTAATTTTATGCTATGTGAATTTTACCTCTATATATGGGTGTATACGCACAGATATATGATATTTCCAGAGTCCCACCCCATCAGCCTCCCCCTTCGCATGTCCCTACAATGCCTCCAAAGAACCCTAATGTGTAAATCAGAATCACTTCATATTACAAAATGTTGTCATAGTTCAGACAGCTATTTTATTCCTTCAGGGGCTAAAGGTATTTTTCCTTAATCCAACAGATAAATATGCCTGGGACAGTAATATCTTGCTACTCAGAAACGGAACCTTCCATTGGCAAACAGCTCCAATGTCCACAGTGGTCCCATAGCTTCAGTTTTAGGATACGTAACTCAGAATTCTACTCTAAGTATACCCAGAAAGATAACAATAGCTAAGCTTTATTTTTTGGTGTTTTCTTCTCATATTCTAGTAGATTGTTTTATTTTGAGTGGTGAGCTAAGCATGATTAAGTGGCTACTCTGAATAGTTTTTCATGTTGTTTCATTTAAATGCCATTTTATAGAAAAGGACACTGATAATTTTTTCATTATAAAATTTTATAATTTTATAGAAAAGGACACAGCTCTGCAACAATCCTGAGGTCGGAACTTAAAGCTCATCCCTTCGAGCTCAGGAGAAAGCCTCCAGCTAGGCCAGGAAGGGTACGTGCAGTCACCAGCTCCTGTGCCCAAGGAAGGCACGAGGGCCACTTTCAGTCCCACCAGGAAAGTGACCCCAGCCTGTCAGCCCCTGAGGTGTGTGAAGATGCCTGATGCATGGACACACGTCCCCTCGGCACCTTCCCAGAGAAGTTGAGAGGCACGAAGAGGTCAGGACCTCTATCTACCATTTCTCCTCAGCGTATATGGGGACAGTGAAGACCAACCTCAGTGGTCGCGCTGACGACATGTGCTCAAGGACGAAGTAACGAGGGACACTGCAGACCCTCGTTTGCTAAAGAGTTGTAGGGAAAGGCTAGGAAATCATCTGTTTTTAAAGGTTTAGGTCATGGACACCTGGGTGGCTCAGCCGGTTGAGCGTCTGACTTCAGCTCAGGTCACGATCTTCGCAGCTTGTGAGTTCGAACCCCGCATCCGGCTCTGTGCTGACAGCGTGGAGGCTGCAGCCTGCTTTGGATTCTGTGTCTCCCTCTCTCTCTGCCCCTCCCCTCCTCACATCCTATCTCTCTCTCTCTCTCTCTCAAAAATAAATAAACGTTAAAAAAATAATAAAAATAAATTAATTTAAAAAAATAAAGGTTTAGGTCAGATCCTATTTAAACACAAGACACTCTGGTTTCTAAAGCTCCCTCCCATCCTAGAAGTCTCTGTGACATCATTTTCTGCACAGTGACACGGTGTCTGATTTGGACACATATGATTCAGCATTACTACACTGGGCATTTTCTGTGGGCATAAGTATGGTGCTTTTTCAAGTTATTCTGAAACATTTCTACACAGAGGAGTTGAGGATAATTTTAGCCTTTTTTATCTGCATGGTAAAGTTACCAAAATGGTAATAATAATTCTTTACATACAAATGCACTTTACGGATTACAAAGTACTTTCAGGGACGATCATTACTGTGTTTTTTTTTTTAAAGGTGAAATTTAGGAAAATTATCAGTAAATGACATTTGGCTATTCATATACCCTCTTATATTCTAGGTAAGAAAAGGGGGAGAGGAAAGATTTATATTAGAATTGAGGTCAGGTTCTAGAAATTTTACCTATTCCTGGTTATCAATTTTTAAAAGAGCCAGTGCTCCTTCAGTTAAAACAAGGTTCTGCTACTTATGATTGGTAAGCTGCAAATGTCTTGCCCAACCTTCCTGTGGTCCCGTGCCCCGTCGCTATTAAATTTTAGTTGTGCAGCTCACAGAGATGATCCAGAATGCCAGATGTGGGTAAACAAAACTAAACAAAACGGAACACAAAAAAACTGAAACAACAAGAAGAAAGCTAATCACATTTCAATATCACTTAATGTGAAAATACAGTGATGCTTTTATATCTTTTCCTGTTTTTCATGGCCACACAATGGCCCCTGGATTTGTTCACACACACACACACACACACACACAAATCAGGCTGCTAATGTGTCAAGGTCATCTTCAAAGAGCTGTACCGGCGTGCCATACTGACGTGGATAGCCACTGAAACCTCCCCACAGTGCCACACAATCTCCCAAGACCTAACCTCTATCAGGGAGATCGATAACCCTTAGAGAGTAGATGTTCAAGGAATGAATTTATTGCAATTAATCTGACCAAACTGCAATCCACCTGCTGCCTTTCCTTCGGGATGGCGGAAGAAAGCAGTCACGTGCTCATACGAATGGACACGTTACCCATGGTGTTGGGGCCACACCCAGGATGCGGCAGAGCTGACAGGCCACCACTTTGAAGCTCTAATTGGCCGAAGCCACACCCGGCGGGACTGGCCCTCCGAACTGCAGGTGAATGTTCTCGGCCAGGTCTTGCCAACAATGGCAATCTGTGCTTCCCACGGGGAAGAACGCCCCAGAGGAACACTCAACCGAGCAGGCACCATCCAGCCTGACTCAGAATATGACAAATGCTCCTACAGAGTGACATTTCCTGCCAGGCAGTGGCACTCAACCTTGACTGCATGGTAGAATCACCTAGGGAACCTAAAATACTTCTGTGGCCAGCCCTCCAGCCCAGGCTCATTAAAATCGGCGTCTCTAGAAGCGGGGGCCCTCACACTGGTATTTATGAAAGCTCTCCAGATGGTTCTAACATGCAGCGAAGGGAGAAGCACCAGTGCAGAATATTCTAGCACTGTCTGGGCTTGAGCCCAGCTGGTGAGGTGCTGCAGGAGAGGAACTCGCAAAACACCACTTGCTTAGGAAAGGGAAGTCCATGCTCCCTGAGGTCTCGAGCCACAGCTGACAAGTGCTTTATTTGTCTGCGGGCATTTAGGTCAAGCTGATTTGTTGGGGGGACAAGGAGGGCTTTGATTTTTTTGCCTAAAACAAGCATAACGATATTTACTTTGTGAGAGCCAGGAATTTGATAAAAACAAAACAAAATACCCAAATGAGATGCTGTTCATTTCTGGGGTGATTCCGGGGAGGGAGGGGTGGGGCACATACTCTTACCAATGCCCCAACTGGGGTAACGCACCCTGGGGCCAGTGGGATGGAAAAGAACAATAACTGTAAAGAATACAGAACTCCCAGAACTTCAAGTGGCCCTGCAAACGTCGAAACCAAAAACTTATCCTGCAAGAGTATAAACATCAGGAAGAAAGTGAAAAGGGAAACGATTCTTATCACGTCCAAGCAACCTATGGCCCTCTCCTTGGTTTTGTTTTACTCTCTCCCTATGTTTGGGCATTTCCAAGAAAAGCTCTACGTGAACAGTGGTGGGTGAGAGGAGATTCCACCTCAGGGGAAAGTGGGTTCGTAGAAGAGACTTTCCAGATTCAAATAACAGTCAGCTAAAAATTCATCAGCTGAATCCCAAACGTTGGATTCATATACAAGTCTCCATCTCCTGATTGCAAGTCACTATATTTGGAGGCTGATGTCCACAGATGAAAATGTGATGGGTGAGATTGTTTAATGTGTAAATCTCACTCCAATGTTACAATGCTCTAAGGGAACTTAGCTGCTTGGGACACTGCCAGCAGAGTTGATAGAAATGAATGATATAAAAAATATACTCACTGGTTCTCTCTTTTCTTCTTAAGTGGGTCCATCAGGCGTAGTGTGTCTCTGATCACGGCCACCTTCACTTCTTCATCGACAAGGCTGGGGACATTTTCAAAGACCCCCGGAGAAAGCTTGAATGGGTAAGGATTCAGTGTTACAGTGGAGAGTGATTCAGTACCAAGTACCTATTAGCACTGGCTCCAGTGGTTGTACTGTTAGGCTTTGCTTATGTTCATCTACAGAAGGTAACTTTTTAAAGACTGCCTTTATGTTACTTTTACAGTGTCAGTTTCCTTTAACAAATCAACAAAATATGTAAAGCAGAAATACATACATACATAAGGAGCACTATGTCTTTCTAGTTATCAAAATCATACATGCTCGCTGTAGAAAACTTGGAAATATAGAAGGGGTTAAGAAAATAAAAGAAATCCACATACTCCCCCCAAAACACAATATTAGTATTTGGTGTGTTTCCTTCCAGTCTTTTTTTATGCACTAACCACTGTTGAATGTGCTATTTATGTTAGTGATTCGAGTATGTCGACATGGCTAAATCATATTCCTAGAATTTCAATTAGTTCATCTCCTGAGGCTAACTAATTAGTTCACGTCAAAAATGATGGAAAGGTTCAGCTGCCTCTATGTCTGCAGACCTTAAAAATTGGAAGAATGGCATGCTGAGAAGTTACCAGGGGTCGGAGAGGTCTTATATTTATAGACTCTGTTCAGAGCTCCACAAAACTGAAACTATTTAGACTGGAACAGAAGTTCACTGTGCAAATCTGAGAATGCTGAACCTTGTTTAGCCGAGTGAACAGCATGAGAGGGCACGTGCAGTTGTATGGCAATATATTCAACGAGGCGTTCAAAATACTTACTTCTTGCTCATGTTCGATTCTCATGCTGGGATTTGCATTTACTTCCAGGAGAATAGGCTTCAGATTTTTCATCAGAAGGATGTCAAAGCCTAGAATCTGGGTAGGATACACATAATTCAAGATTACTCCCTCTAGCTACAATTTCTTTTCAGGAATCAAGTATGGTGTTAGGGTCATTAAGGCGACAATAAGTTCAAACTTGGCCCCCAACCTGAGCCTTGACCCTGGCTTCTCTTGTCCACGGCCCCTCTGCGCCTGGGTGTTCTTGTCAGGCTAAATGGACAGCAGAAAATTTCACAGGAACCTTGATGATGGGATGAGTTCTCCTGGTGCATTTCAGCAATATCGGTGACCTCTTTCTTCCTTAACAGGTTTTTTATTATGTTGAGGATCAGTAGTGCCCATCAATTTCTCCCTCTCCATCTGCTCTCCTCTATTAAGCTGCTTCTTAGCTAGATCTCTGAAAACCCAAGGCTACCTTTCATAACCTCAGATGTCCATCAGTATCACTTAAGGAGCCCTTTCAAAACCACCACATATCCCCCAGCTCACACCTACAAGTCAGAATCTTTCAGAGTAGAACCCAGGCAAACTAGTTTTGAAAAACAATGCCCCCCTGCTCCCCACCCCAGTGATTTTGAAAGACGCTCCTTAGCTAAGGAAAGGGAATATTTATTAGGCACCAATTACTCCACGATGCACCAATTATTCATAATCTCGTTTAGTCCTCATGATGGTGTGTTTGAAGGAAGGATCCTGCTCTCCATTTTCCAAAAGCAGAAACTGAGTCTCACAAAGGCCAATGGATTTCCCCAAGCTCGCCTAGCGAGTAAGTGACAGAGTTGGATTTCATACCCACAGAAGGCTGGCTCCAGAATTTGTGGGATCCAGTGCAGGATGAAAACACGGTGGGGAGGGGGAGACTTGTTCAAAAAGTACTGACAATTTCATGATGGTGGCAGCAGAGCATTAAACCAAGCACGGAGCCCTTCTGAGCACAGAGTGCTGTGTCACTGCACAGACCCACACCCAAGGCTAACCCCAACACCATGTGTCCTTGACACCCTCCCTTCCATCCAGCGTGCTGCTTTAGGTGAGGCTTCGTCTTTGGCTTCCTCCAGTTCCTCACAAGCCCTAGGATGGGGTAAGCTACCCTGTGCATCTTTCCCTCTGCCTGAAACAACCCTTCACCTGCAATAACATCTCCCGATCCTCAAAATCACTGGTTCTAATTAGATTCAGACTCAAACCACAAGGACGTCAGATTCTCGGGAGGACTCTCCTTATCTCTCTAGGAGGTGATAAGGTAGAAAGCTTCTGACATAATTGACACAGTCCCAAAGTTTCAAAAAATAAAGTGGAGAATAAAGGAGAGAAAAAGAAAAAGATACAGCTGTATCCCCTCCTCTGTGGATCAAGCAGAAAAGATGAAGGGAAACCCATTTACTTGTCTATATAGAATGTGCATTAGTCAGACGGTAATTATCCAACTGTAGCCTCATTCTTATTAATGAAATCAGAGCCCGAATGACCATTTTTGGGGGTAATTCAGGATGAGGTTATTCTTCAGTGAAGGGCAATGAGGATGAGAAGTTGGAAAAAGTCACCCTTGCTCTATTTTTCTTTCCCTGGTCATGAAAAGAAAGGAATGGAAATTCAGTAGAAAATGTTACATGCATTATAGATCCACTTAATAATATATGGCAAGTGGCTATGAGTGATGAGGCCTTTAGAAGACTCTGGTGACATCATCAGTCTAACTGCAGACCGGGGCTGAGGCATGTGGTGTTGATGAGGCTACAGAGAACAGCGGGCTGTGGTGCCTGCATTTATCATCCTTAGTCATCAGCTGCTTTCTGCTACATCTTAGAAGCTTGGACTCGCTCTTTCTCAGCTTGGTGGGCTCTTTCAGTTCAATGAACAGTGGTTTCCTGAAAATAAAGCTATAGGAAAGCTGGAGAAGGCAAAACCTCAACAGCCATACCGATCTGCACCCACCAATGGCATGGTATTTTCTAGAACCTAAACTTGGGTGCATGTCGTTGAATATGTAGGGTCTTGTACAGAAATGCTTTGGAGTCAGAAATACTTGGCTCCAATCCTACCTCTGTTTCTCGCACTAGCTAGACAACTCTAGGTGCAGTGCACAGCCTCTCTGAGCTTCATATACCTCATGAAAAATGAGAGCTGATGATAGCTACCTTGCAGAGTAGCTGATGATGGAAGCAAAAAGCACCTATGACTAGGCTCATCATGTAGGAGGTACTCAATATATGACAGTTCCCTTTGCAGTTTCCTACCGATCCCACCAACAAGAAATGGCATTATGTGGCTTTAGAGTCCAGAAGAGCTCATTTCAAATCCTAGCTCTGCCTTTAATGTGCATAACTATGGGCAAGTTACTTAGCAACTCTAAGCCCCAGTTTCTTCATCTGTAAAATGGGAATAAGAATAGTACTTACCTTAGTTCATTAATTCAAAAAAATATTTATTGAGTGCTTTCCTATATCCCAGGAACTATTCTACCTTCTAGAAATATAGCAGTGGACTAGACGAGGTCCCTGACCCCATGGAGCTTACAATCCAATAAATACTGGGGAGCTAAGACCAAATAAAGATAATGCAATGTAAAATATTTTGCACAGTGCCTGAAACATAGTAAGTATTTAATAAAGGTCATTATTATATTTTTTTCATGAATTCAAGGAAATATAGATTTTCTTTTCAAAAGTTCAATGAAATATGTAGCACCAGTGGATCTCAATAAACAGAATAACGGAACTGGGAGGAGCTTAGAGTTGATCTTGTCATAAAATTCTGGAATAGAGCTGGAAAAAAATCAGGAATTTGGTCCAGTGTTTTTCAAAATGGGGTTCTTTTCTGGGGAAGCACTGGGGAGGCTAGATCAAAGCCACTTTTACCTATCTCATATACTGGATCCCCAGAGAAGAAAGCTTTATATATATACATATATGTGTGTGTGTGTGTGTGTGTGTATAAAACATAATGTATAATATATATAATATGCATATATATATAAAGCTTTCTTCTCTGGGGATCCATATATACATATATATACATGTACATATATATATACACATATATATGTATATATATATATATATACACATATATATATTTTTTAAACTCCGAATTTAGTCTAACAGCCACTTTATGCAGATCATAAAAGCAGCTTAGAAAGGAGAAAACCTCCCTCCAGTTTGGTGGCAGAGCAAGAATTGTCAAAAGGAGAGAGAGGACTTTTCAGTCACATGATACTCTGCCCTGATGCAAGCAATTATGTGTTGCACACCTCCTACTCGAGGGGTACCCTGGGGATTCAAAGTTATCTGTCTTTCAGCCCTTTTAGAAGCTTCCAAAACAACCTGGGAAGAAAAGGATCCTGCACCATTACTTGTAAACTCATGCCAAGGTCCAAGCTACGTTCCAATGAGGGGGGATTCTCTCTTGAACCCTAGAACTACACACCCATCTGTATCCAGAGTAGTCCCAACTGGGAGGTCCCAGAGTCCTCAAATTCAACATATCCAAACTCAGTATCACTATCCAAACTCACTAGCCTCTAAAATGGTCTCAATGACCCCCACCTCGTGGCAATCATGCCCTTGTGTAATCCCTTTCCTTTGAGTGTGAGCTGCACCTAGTGACTTATTTCTAAAAAACAGCATAGGGCAGAAATGATGGGATGTCACTTTCAATATCAGATCATAAGAAGACCAGGGCTTCCATCTTGGAAGGCCTTCTCTTATTCTCTTGCTCACACACTCTGAGGGAAGCTGGCTGCTACGTTGTGGACTGCCCTCCTGGAGGCACAGGTGACAAGGAACTAATGTCTCCAGCCAACAGCCAGGGGGTGCTGAGGCCTACCCCCAGGCTTCTTCCCCAGTCAGGCCTTGAGGTGACTATAGTCATTGCAGCCTTGTAGGAGACTGAACCAGAGGGAGTCCCCGAAGCCTAGATTCCCGATCCACACACACTGAATGATAATAAATGTTTGTGAGTTTAAGCCGCTAAACTATTATTTTGGGAGTAATTTATTACACAGCCAATTGATCATTAATACAGCACCTTTCTCTAAAATCGACTTTGCCTCCTGTATTCCTTATCCACCCAATTACACAAGTTAAAGCTTTCTCCTTCATCTTTTACATCTAGCTGCTCACCAACTCGTGTACATTCTGCCTCCTGAAGAGCTTTCCAGAGCTGGCCCATCCTCACCGCTCCTGGCCTAGATCAGGTCTGCACCAGCTCTCACCTGGACTAATTTAATAGCTTTCCCATTCATTTCCCTGCTTTCGATCTCACACATCTAGTTCACCTGGCACAAGGGGCTGCCAGAGTAATTTTTCTAAAATGCAAACAGAGTATTAGCATTCCTCTGCCTAAAATCCCTGCCTGCAGAATGAAGGCCTAGGTCCACGGCATGTCCTACAAATTCCTCTATGACCTGACATCTGTCTCACATTCCAGCCTTATTTCCTCTCCCTCCCCCCCTGCACATCTTGGGCTGTAATTGTGCTGAACTATTAGTAGTTCTAGGATGCTTTACTGCTTTCTCCTTTATACTCTTCTGCCTGGAAGACAACTTTACTGATGAAATATTTACTGAGCACCTACTAAATACTCAGTACTATTCTAGGCCCTGAGGATAAACCAGTGAACAAGACAAGTGAGTGTGATATGGTAGGTGGAGGGGAGGGTTGGTGGTTTAGAAGGATAACTAGGGAAGGTCTTGTCATCCCATCGTCTTCTGGCTTCCACAGTTTCTGATCAGAATAACTTTTTGGTTATTCTTTGTTCCTCTGAACATAAGATTTTTTTTTTTTTATCACTGGCTTTCCACAATTTGATTCTGTTAAGCTTTGATGTGTTTGTGTGTGTGTGTGTGTGTGTGTGTGTGTGTGTGTGTGTGTCCTCCTTGGAGTTTCTTGAGCTTCTTGGATTGCAGATTTCTAGTTTTTTCTCAAATTTGGAAATCTGGGGCTATTTCTCCAAAAAAAAAAAAAAGTCTTTCTGCATCTTCTTTGTCTCTTCTGCTCGGGGAGCTCCAATTATACACATGTTGATATTGTACC